CCCCCCCCCCCCCCCCCCCCCCGCTCACCAAGACCCACTCACTACACGGCGGCCCTCCTCGCCTGTGCCTCCCTTATGCGCCTCTCGACGTCCCTCCGACGATAATACACACCCTCGGGGCCGCCTCGCTTGTCGTCCCTCAGAGCAGTGAGACCCATCCGCTGCACCTCCCTCTTGGGCAGCCCATACTCGCGATACACAGCCGACAACGCCACCATACTGCTACTGCAGTGCCGCAGTATCACCTGCACTCACACAACACACCACACATGGGGGGGCATCGCGCCGTGACATGTGCCGTGTGTGTGTGTGTGTGTGGTTGGTGTGTCACCCACCTTGACAGACTTGCCGTGTCGTTTGCAGAGCCGTTCAGGAAAGTGCCTGACGGCCTGCCGGTGGCAGTGTGTGCAGACAGTCTCTGCCAGCATGAGAAAGAACCCCTTGTAGGTGTGATGTGGCTGCATCTGGTTCCGCAGACCCGCCGGCAGGGTCAGCATAAACAATCGCCGCCACCGGTCTTCGTCGAGGGCATCTCTGCAGGAACTGGAGGCGCAGGTGAGGGCGAGCATGGTCTTGATGGGCAGAAACCCCAGCAGCAGGTCGAGCACATCCTCAGGCAGACGCGAAATGCGGCACATGGATCCAAAGTTCTTCGAACGTGATCACAGCAAGCTGAAAAGCAGGCCGTCGATTGAAGCTCAGGCTGCGGCGCCCCTTTTCAACTTGAGAAGGAACGGCTTCAAGCTCGCAGACCCTACCGAATTCCGTGAAACCACTCTCTCAACCGACCGACCCTATTTTCTCTTGTCACTCTGTCAGCCTCCCTCCCTCCCTCCGTCGGCCGGCCATCTACCGTCATGACGATGCTTCGGCTCTCTTGTGTGCTTCGGCAGAAGCACGACAAGTACACTGGCTACTTCCGGTCGTTCTACATGGACTACCGGCAGATGCACATCGGCATGAGATTGGGCTTCTTCATCAGCGGCGTCGCCGTCGCCCTCCTCATCGCCAAGTCCATCCGCCGGATGCACTACAAAGTCAACAGGCGGGAGGAGGTGCTCAAGGCAGAGCTGAGGGCGCGCGGGGCGTCAGAGGACTTCAGGTGCTACAATGTGGCCAAGCAGTACCGATACGAATGCGCAAACACCGAGGCGTAAGCAACCATCACACACACACACACAAACAGAGAGAGAGAGAGAGAGAGGGTTGTGGTGTGTGGTTTGTGTGTGTGTGTGTCTTGTGCAGCGGGTTTGACGAGAAGAATATGCACTGCATGTTTCTGGTGAGCCAGCTGGAGGACTGCAAGCGTCAGCTGTACGACTTCATCCCGGTGGACAAGACCCCCGCCATGCTGCCCGTGGGTGAGATCATGAACAAGCCCCTCTGGGTACGCGGAGACGACGTCTGGTTCGCACAATTCGAAACCAACAACTGACCGATCCACTCGCGGGGGCGGGAGGGTGGAGAGGGGAAGGGAACGGGTGTACAGTAAGGAGACTACGGGAGGATCGGGTCGAGATAGATAAGAAGAGACAGACAAGATGAGAAGGCAGGTTTTTGGTGTCTTCATGGTCAGCGCAGAGCAGCTGTGGGGGCGATATAATGATGTGCAGCGTGTCTGCATACGCGGCTCTTGGCTGGTGCCCTTTCTCGTCGTCGTGTGTCGTTGGCTCCTTACGTTGGTAGTCGGTGACGCCGGGCAGCGGTGGTGTATCCCCCTCTGCGGCCCCTCGTCACACGCCGCGGCATGAGGAGCCAACAAGACACGCTGACAGAGGCACAGAGATGTATGGGGAATGAGAAGACTGGTTTGCAGTGTGTGATCTGGGGCTGTGAATCGCTCTTAACATCCTTGCAGTGGTGGCGTATGTCTGATCCCGACAACCTACTCAAGGGGCAGGCTGGATGTCGCTATGCTTGTCTTGGGGGTGGGGCGCTTGCGGCGGGCGGAGGCACTGATGGCCAACACAGAGATGGCTGATTGACGTGATGGTTGAGCTGGATCGATGGATGCATCGGTGGATCTTTGTCATGGCTAAGGTGGTGTGATGAGATAGATAATCTATGCTCCGAATTCGGTGGTGGATGGCGGGTGTGGTGTGGTGTGACGTCAGAGAGGGTAGGGTGAGAGAAAGCGATACACAGGACCACACACATCACATAAGTCAGTCAGAAAGGGGGATGTGCCCGCCTGAAGGAAGGAAGGACACACCAGCAGACAGACAGACAAGTAATGTACTGCACCGCACGAACCAAAACCAGCGAGCGGAGCCACATCCGCCCGTCTCGCTGTCTGTCGGTCTGCAAAAGTCAGCGGCACACACACACAGGCAATGCCTAAATGCACACAGCACACAACACACAGCATCTCACACACACACACACACACACACAGGCAGACGTGTGTGTGTTATGGTACACCCATCCATCCATCCATCCATCCTCTCCTCTCACAGAAAGTCCTCCCTCTTCTCTGAGATGTGCAAAGGAATTGACCATTATATAGAGAGAGGGTATATTGACAGACGCTCAACCAACAGCAATTAGCACTCACTGCACACACTCACACACACTAATTGAATGCACTGCTGATTACTCGCTGCGATAGACAGACAGACACACGCCGACAGACACCCCCCCCCCGCACACCGACGCGCTAGCAGATGTGTACGAGCACGGACACCCACACGCGTCCATGTGCTGCCCGCGCTCACACTCGCGTCTGGCTGGGACTCAGCAACACGCAACACACTGGCCGGCCACCCCACCTCGCTGTCTGTACACACCGATCCACCAGCAGTTTCCTCCTTCCCTCCCACCACACACACACACAACAAACAAAGCGAAGCAGAGCAAACAAAACAATAGGAAAAAAAGGCCACCCCGCCAGCCAGCCTGACTGCCTTCTTGCAGATGGTGGGTCCGCTATTGCCCGTTGGCTGCGGCGGCTCCGTAGGTGAAGGCGTCCTGCAGCTGTTTGGCGACTTGTTTCCATTTGGAGTGGTCGATGGACGAGACGTCGGGCATGGAGGCCACGTGCGCGAGATACGCTGACAGCTGGTACAACTCGGTGTCGCTTCCGCGCTTCGACATCCTGCAGGCACCCACACACGGACAGAGAGAGGGAGGGAGGGATTGTCCATCGCTCCCTGTCTGTCTGTCTGTCTGTCTGTTGGTCTCTCTCCCTCTCTCCCTCCCTCCCTCCCTCCCTCCCTCCGTGGCCCGCTCACTTGTAAGATGAGACCTTGATGCCGTTCTTAGGGTTCATGGCGAAGTTTCTGCTGAGGTCGTCGACGTGGAGGGTGTTGTGTGGCCCCCAGGTGTCGGGGAACTTGGCCCAGATGATCTCCAGCGCCTTGACCTCGTGCGTCCGGCTCGTGCCGTCCTTCTGACGACTGCACACCGAAAACATCGAGGACCTAGTATTATGACGACCGACCGACATACACACAGACAGAGAGAGAGAGAGTTTCATGTACGCCTGTGCTCTCTCTCTCTCTCTCTCTCTGCGTGTGTGTGTGTGTGTGTGTGCCTGTCGAGGACAAAGTTGACGGCGTATTTGGGTGAGGTCAGGAAGCCCAGCTCTGTGCACTTCATCTCGACCCACTTCCATTCGGTCTGGCTCCACACGGCGATGTCGTAATGCGCGTAAACCGTCTCCATAAAGTGATCCAGAAACGGCCGCTTGGCGTCCTGGATTGCACGGGGGTCGCCCCTGCAGTGCACACACACGCCCAAGCACACAGATGCAGCCGTCTGAGTGTGTGTGTGTGAGTGCGTGTGTTACTTGCAGTCGAAGACAGTGTAGTCGAGATCGAGAACGAGCAGCTTGCGTTTTGGCCTGAAGGGCTGGATGAGTGTGATGGTGGTCTTCTCTATCGCCTTGTGCAGGCGACTCAAGTGGATGTCATTGCGGATCTCCGATATGTTGTTCTCTGCGTGACACAGACAGACAACCACCACACACATCCATCCATCTGCACACCCTTTGTCTGTTGCCTCTCTGTCTGTGTGTGTCAGCTCGGCTCGGTGTACCCACCGGTGGGCACGTAATCCCAAGCGAGATCGTTGACGACCTCTGGCAGGTCGTCCCGCTTGGAGGGGTCGATGAACGTCTGCGCCAGGGGCGTGCCCATCAGCATGAACGACAGCTTGGGCGATGTCTTCTTGAAGCTCAGCGACGACAGCAGGTCGCCGTCCTGCGGCGCCTTGCCGTTGCAATTGGTCACACCCAGCAGCTTCTGCACATATATCACATAGACAGACAACCAGACAGACAGGCAGACACACGGCTTTCAGTGCAGTGCATGTGTGTCGTTCGTTCGTTGTGTGTGCCCACTGCACTTGTCTGTCCATGGGGATGGTGAGCTCCTCCGATATCTTGCCCTTGAGATCGCTGACTGTGAAGGTCTCAAAGTCGGTGGGCGTGAAGCTGAGCTCCACTTCGCGGCTGCCCCACTTGGCAATGATGACCACGTCGCTCTCGCCGTGCTCGCTCTCCGCTCCCACACAAGACGCTGAGCAGGAGCTGTCGGCCTCCTTGCCCGCCTCCATCTCACTAGGACAGATAGAGACGGATCTCACTCGGAAAAACCTTTAAACAGCATCACGGCGCCACTCCTGTGCTCTTCATGCAGTGCTTTCGCTCATTCCACTGGGATATTCTCCTTCTCCCTCCAGTTGCGATCTGAGCTCGCAATCGACACCAGAGAACCATGCCGCAATCATCAGCTCTACTGCGCTATTCGCCAAGGCGGTTATCGTCCTACCTCCCTATAGCGTTCAATGTGACAGATCTGACCAGCGCCAGCCATCGCGGCGGAAGACAGGGTGGAGAGAGCGATGGGGGTGGGCAGCCTTGGCTGTTCCCGTGCGGCCTGGGTCTGGTGTTCTCCATCTGTGGGCGGGTCAATGTGCTGTGCGAGGAGAGGAAGAGGGACAAGGGGTCAGGTGATCTGTGGACCTGGGGGAGCGGCATGCAGGGACAACTCGGACACGTGAGTGATGAGCTGAGGTTGAACGCCTACACTGCACTGCACTGCACAAACCTGTACAGAGGAGAGGAGTGAGGCAGACCACACGCGTCGCCTTTGATGGGTGGGGGGACATGTGGAGGGTGTGTGTGTGTCTGTGTATGTGTGTGTGTTTGGTCAACTCAACCAGGGTGACTACAGCAGCCAGGCGTCGCCGCGTAAGGTGGATGCGTTTGAGCAGCTGCTGCTCAAGTCGCCTGTCGAGAAGCTGTCCCAGTGCAAGGCTGGCAGCGTCACGTCAGCATGCGTCACAACACTGGGACGGGTGCGTTGCGTGTCTGTCTGTCTGTCTACCTGCACAGCCATCCATCGGCTCGCCTGCACAGCCATCCATCGGCTCGCGGGTGTGATCGTTATCTCTCTCGCTGTGTGCTGTGTGTGCATGGCTGTGTGCCTGCAGTTGTTCATGTGGGGTCGCACGAGCGACAGCAACGCGTCGCTCCAGAGCCTGCCAAAGGTCATCGAGACCTTCGAGGAGCAAGGCATCCAAATCGTCGATGTACGTCAGTCACCTCCGCGAAGCTGACACGCAGACACACAGAGGCAGACAGACGGCTGCACTGCAAGAGTGTGTGTGTGTGTGAATGGTATGTATGGTGTCTGTCAGTTTGCGGTGGGTGACGGGTTCACCATAGCGGTGGACAGCAAGGGGTGTGTGTACTCATGGGGCAAGTCGAACAGGGGTCAGTGCGGCAGACCCAACAAAGGTAAGCATAAGCATAGCATCCACACTCTCACGCACACCACTGACTGCACTGCGGCCCACATGCTGATGCTGACGTGGTGTGTGTGTGTGCGTGTGTATTGTATGCCTGCCTCCCTGTGTGTCAGAGGTCGACACGAAGGACCTGTGGGCGCGCCGTCAGCTGTCCGACACACTGGAGATCGGACGCGTGGAAGGCACACTCGCAGGCAAACAAATCACACAGGTACAGCACAGCACAGCACCAGACCCCGGTCGGTTCCACCCACCACACCACACCACACCACACCACATGGTCATCCATCCATCCACCCACCCCTGCCTTGATATTTTCAGCTGGCGAGTGGCCGCAGTCATTCCCTTGCCCTGGCCGAGGACGGCAGTGTCTTCACCTGGGGTCTGGGGCAGGACGGGCAGTTGGGCCTCGGCTCGCGCGACGATGTGCTGGAGCCCCAGCCGATGGACTACTTGAACAGCCTGCCGCCGCCGTTCCCGCCGCCCCCGCAGCCGTCCCCACCTGCCAGGGTCAAGCAGGTGGCCGCTGGGCAGCTCTTCTCGGCGGCTGTCACCACGGATGGGAGGCTCTTCACATGGTGGGTGGGTGGGCAATGCAATCAGACACACGCAAATGGCTTGCGAGAGATTGATGCGGTGCGATGCCTGGGTGGGCGGGGAACTGTGTATGTGTGTGTGCAGGGGCTCTGATGACTATGGGCAGTTGGGTCATGGGCAGGAGTCAAGAAGAGGCCTCACACCCAAGGTGCGTGCCCACTGCACTGGTGTGTCCTGTCTGTCCTGCTGCCTCTCTCTGGTTCATCATGATGCGACCGATGCGTGTGTGGCTGGGTGCAGTTGGTGCGAGGTGCGTTGCAAGGCAAGCGTGTGAGTGCGGTGTCGTGTGGCGCCTACCACATCGGCGCCATCACCGAGGAGGGAGAGGTCTACGTATGGGGCTACGGGTGGGTGGGGGAAAGAGAGACAGACACCAACCCCCAAGCGAGCAATTTCATATGGATCCTCATATGACATCTTATCTGTCTGTTTGTGTGGCTGTGACGGTATGGTGTGTGCAGTCGCGACGGCGAGACGGGTCACGGCGAGAAGAGCGACATCCACATCCCAGCACAAGTGGAGGCTCTCAAAGGACAAAGGCAAGACTCGCACAGCACACACCCACACACATACCCGCGCCCTCCCACCGTCCCCTTCCTTCTGTCTCTTGGTGTCCATGACAAACATGTCTGTCAGAGCGGTGAGCATATCGTGTGGCGGCGGGCACACGGCCGTGACGACGGCTGACGGTTCGCTTTACATGTTCGGCCGTGGGAGGGACGGCCAGCTGGGCAGGGGATCAGACATCGAGTCCATCGCCATGTACAGGTGCGGTGGCCCCCCCCCCCCC